TTAATCCCATCCTCGCTCTAATTCATCCCCTCCAGTTCTGCTTTTCTGCATCTTCTTCTGTTTTTCACCAACATCTCCCCACTTCATTTGTCTCCTTTCTCTTGCCCCTCGTCTTATCCTGCTTTGCCCCTTCCTGTTCGCCCCTCCATAGCTCGCTCTCCTCTTTGCAGCCCCTCCTTCCTTCCCACGTTTCCCCTTTTCTTGGCCCCCCTTTTTATTTTTGCTGTCAAGCGCCCCACTACCCCCAAGACCCTCCTTTCCCTCTCACCTTAGCCACATCCCTCTCCCGCCCCCCCCGCACTCCCGGGCGTCGTCTTTCCCTCACCCCCCCGCCTTCCCCCGGGCGTGGTCTCTCCCTCTTCCAGGGTTCTGACAAGCGAGCCCGAGGCGGTAGAGTAGAAAAGGCGAGGAGGGGGGAAGCTGGAGTAAACCGCAGCCAATAGGCATCTCTTTGGCCCCGTGATCCGTTCTTATTTTGCATATGACTGACATTCCAGCGGCGGCCAATGGGAGGTCGCCTTGTGCGTGTGTGACTGGAGAGAAAAGAGAGGGGGCTCATTTGCATGTGAATGACCCGGCGTGAAGGCAGCCAATGGCATACGGAGGGCTAATTGGGCATGCGTGACGGGGCTCTCGGTGCGCGCGCGCTTGTGAGTGTGTGTGAGTGTGAGAGAGAGAGAGAGGGCGCGCGAGCGAGCGAGGGAAGGGAGGGGTGAGGTTCGGGCGGGGGGCCGCCCTTTTTCGTAGCCCAGAGCGGCTGGGAAAGGAGAGGAGGAGGAGGAAGAAGGAAGGCGGGAGAGGCAGTGAATGGTGTTTGGTTACAACCGGAGGGGACGGCGCGACAGGCGGAGCGGCAGCGACAGCCTCCTCGCCTCTCCTCTCCCCCCCCCCCCCTCCCCTCCCCCCCCTCCCCCCCCCCCCCTCCCCAACATGGTCCGGGGGAGGGGGGGAGAAGAGGGGGGGGGGGGGGGGGAGGGGAGAGGAGAGGGGGGGGGGGCTGTGGGAG